TATATAAAAACATGGTGATTTTCTGTAATCAAAAAAAAATTAGATAAAGGATGCAATCATCCAGGTAATTATGAGTTAACTGATGCCCTGCATCGGACAGTCTTGTCAAACTCCTGCTGGTGAAACTGAGCTCATACCAGGCAGTTTATTGAAATACTTTTCTAGCATACAGATTTAAATCAAAAAGACATTTGGCTAAACGATGAGTGTAAGAAAATAGATTTTTGCCCAATACAGCAAAGACCTGTTGAAGTGCCACAGTGTAATACACCGCAGAAGAGCCTGTGATACAAGAAATGCAGCCTTGTGGGCTGTTCCCTCAAACATGCTGGTGGAATATTCTGCATAACTGGACATGTGCATGGTGTACATGGGTTTTGTAAGCAATGCTACAAGTGCTGGCACGCATTTTACTAGGCACTTATGGTTTAAGACACATTTTAGGCTCTTAGGGAAGGCAGCCAACAAAGATGTTTTCAACAGTTAACAAGGCACAGAAATTAAAATGCCAAGTTGCTGGTTTTAAGCAGCTGAGTCATCACTGTTTTGAAAAATGGCACCATATGGGTCACTGTTAATGCGCTTGTAGACAAAGTGGAAGACCTGGGGTTGCGGACGGCTGTGCAACTCCGCCTTAATTTTCTGAGGGTAGGTATCCTCTGTCAGTTGTTGCCAGGTGTCATCAATGAAAAGGAACAGGCTATATTCTTCTGGATTGTCCACTTTAAACTTTTCAGCACAAAGCTGACATACATCTTCGGTAGTGATATATGGTCTTACTAGTAAGGTCTTTCCTGTACATCCACTGTTAACTTCCTGGAATGCAACACGAAGATAGTTCTGTAGAATGAGAAAACAGACATCAGAAACTCAAAAAACCTTCATCCTCTGAAGAGACAGCAACAAACAGTAAGCATCCCCATGTTCTAGTTTTGAAACAAACACCAATGATTCCTGTACATTATGGCCATCTTGAGAACTATGACTGAGGCAAGCTCGAGACATTTGTAAGCCAACACCCTCCTTTCCTTGCCTCCACCCTAAACCTGCAATGAATGCCACATGGAAAACACCAGTGGCTTCAATGGCACTCAGTGATTGCCCTTACCATGAAAGAAAATGGTGTGAAGCAAAGTAGGCATCTGAGGCAGCACAGCTGAGAGATGATGCTGCTACTGCTGGGTCAACACTAGAGAACAGAAGCTCATGCAGAATGTTAGTCAGAAGGTAAAAAGGCTTCTGCCAGCAGCACACAAGAGTGTTGATCCCCAAGTTGCTCCATGATAAACTGCTTGCACTCTTATGCTGCAGTATGCATGAGGCAACCCACCTTCACATAGGCCATTTCCATCATGTTAACCAGTGGCAGTTTGGTGTCTAAACCTGACATAACCAAGCTTCGTGTGACAGCATTTTGGTTTTTTAAACTAAGCCTTAGAGGGATGCAGAAAGAAAATCTACTCTGCAACATTCAAGTAAATCCATGTGATCTTGAGTCAAAAGTTGGATCTTTTTAGCTCCGTAGAAACTGACACATGCCCACAACTCTGATAACATGGACATATTCTAAATATGCCCTATAAGGAAATGCAGTTGTACCCTTCAAAAAGCATTTAAAAAGTAGAATAAAGAGCAAGAAATGGGAGGGGAAAACCACAGAAAACTTCTGGATACATGAACAAAGCAGCCTGTTGTCATGTGCTTTTTTTGGTTTTTAAAAGAAAAATTAGCTGCAATTAAACACTAAAAAGCAGCAAAATTAAAGGAGGTGGAAAAAATTACAGTAAGAAAGAGCTGTATATTGACAGAGCCAGTACCTATGATTTGTATGCTGAATAAATTAAGCATGCTAAATCACAGTGGCAAAAGTTTGCATTTCATAGAAATGAGCTGTTAAAAGCCAGGACTGAGAAGAATGTTCATATGACTTAAGTTCCAAAGAGCACTCTTGTCTTGAATAAAGTACTTCTTGATAGCATGCAGACTGAAACACTGAAGCTCTGCAACAGCATTTAAACCATTGGAACTGAACCTGACTGAACAGAACTGACCCATTTTTGTTACCCTCTGTGAAGAAATTAGAGGAAAAAAATCAAGACACACAACAGTTTTATTTTCTAATGTAGTTATCACACAGAAGACCTGTTTTGAAATGCCTGTGCTTTTAGGTGTACAGGATTGCTTGAGGGAGAGGCTGAGGTTTGTGTAAGTGCCTGCAACTCATATATTAAGTATCAAAACTATTTATGTAGTATCAGAAAGTTGTATTGAATCATCATCAAAATACATGATTCTTTGTTTTTCCATCCTTTTGAGGGAGGAGGAAAGATGACTTTCCAGGGCTCAAAAGCTGGTAAGGCTGGGAGACTGCATCACAGAATGCCAT